GCGATCCAATCTTTCGCAGACTCATTCTCCGCAAGGACAAGGCAACTAAACAACATGAGCGACACAGCACCCGACCCACCCCCACCCCCACCCCCACCAGAGCAAGCAGAGCAAGCAGAGCAAGGCTCACCACGTGGCGCCATGGATCCTCCGGCGACACCAGGTCCAGATGCGGGCCTTCACGCTAAGGTACCAACTGCAACAACACCAGTACCCGCGCCTTCACCCGCACCGTCCACACCAGGCCGACGTAACCGCCCCCTCCTCCCCAACACCCCACGTTCATCCAGCAGCCCGTTCCCCACTCGCGCGCCCCGCACGCCAGGAGCATCATCGGCAATCCAGCCCTGCACTGTCGACGAGACGCTGTTTAGCCGGGTGACTGTCCACACGGCCAAGTGCACTGAGTGCGACCAGCGGAATATGGATACCATGCGCCGCTGCCCTGGCTGTACGTTCCAGGTCTGCCAGCCGTGCTATGAGAAGCGGGTTAAGAATAACAAAGGTTTGCTTCATGGTAATATGGCGACGCCAGGTGCGGTTGGGGTTGGCGCTGGTACTACTCCTGCGGGTAGGACGGTGAGGCGTAGGCCGGTGGCGAGCAGTACGCCCGTACGTGAGAGCGAAGAGAAGAAGGAGAATGAGGTCAAGGAAGAGGAGAAAGAAGTCAAGCCCGTGCCGAAGGAGACTACTGCGTCTGCACAGAAGTCGTCAGCGAAGAAGCGCTCGATCAGGAAGAAGCCTGTCGTTCTTGATAGTGAGGTCGACGAGCTCTCTTCCGAAGACGACTTCGAGCCAGACGATCACTCACCCACGCCCAGCAAGAAGCGCAAAACTGAACTCACCTTCGCCGAGAGCGCCATGGCTACCGCTACCCGAACTCCACCTGCCACACGCGCGACTCGACGATCAACCACCGCTCCAACCTACCAAGATCCGCCATCCCCGCACTCGGACCCGGTCGACGGCAGTGTACGCAGTGGTGGTCGGTCAAACGGCTACCTAGGCGGCGAGTACAAAGGCGATCCAGACCTCTATGATGCCGCCATCGGACCATACGAAGAGCCGCTGTTGAGTCGCCAGAACCCTGTCCTGTCGAACCCTGCCTCTAGGATCCCCGAAATCATCAAGCGAGGTGGTGTACCGAGGCCACAGGGCGAGACGTACAAGTACATCCAGAAGCATCTCCGTGAGAAGATGGGATTGGACCAGATAGGCGAGACGACTGGAGAAGAGACGGTGGCATCTTTGGCTGAGCAGAGCGTAAGTAACGAGTATAGAGCTGTGATCGACGACGACAAAGCTGACACAACGAAGAACGAGGCTGACCAGGCTGCTAATGAATGCACCGTTGGCGCTTTCGTCGAGCAGATGGCAACCAAGTACCTGAACGCCGAGACCATGGACGGAGACGATAACAAGGCCCTCTTCAACGCCATGGAGAGCGCCGCGTTGGTCTGGGGCAAGAAGACGTTTAAGAAGCTCGATCCGGAGAAGCAGCGCATGGTGCAGCCGGGCTTGAAGTTGCGTCTTGACTTCATCGACGAGAAGTTTCGGGAGGAGTTGGCGAAGCTGATGGATGAGCGCGCTGGCAGTATGCTGGCGGAGTTGGGTGTGAGTGACGAGAAGCCTGCGACTGGTCCTCCTGACTTGCTGTTTAAGGCTGTCTAGGGTAGGTGATGGCGGTGATGGCGTTGCATTGGCCTGAGCGATGATTACCGTGGCCTCATTCTTGCATTGATAGATCTTCAGCGATAGACAGAGTTGTCGGGACTTTCACCAGTCCAATCACATGGGTAGCGAGTCGGTATTGGTTGGCTTCGTCTGACCAGCTTGGCATTCGCCTAGGATAGCGAAGAACTATCGTAGGAGCATGTATCTAGAGACCAATTGCATCAAATGAGTAATGAAGAAGAACGTGCCTCGTATAATGGCATTGCCGGACCAACTCTTGAAAGACATGAACGAAAGGAGACGAGAAGACGTTTGATACAGACATGATTATGCTACTTGAAGACATACGTAAACGACCTCCTTTCGAGGCGTAGGAATAACAGAAGGAAAAGATTATGGGTATCCGTAATGGCGCTGATGCAATGCAGAATGCGACAAACAATGAAAAGGTACGGGTCGCGTCAGTCGAGGCGCCCATACTGGCCGAAGATGCCGCCGACCTCCACCTGCTGTGTAGGTGTCTACCGCTGACCGAACTGAATCGTCAGCTTCCCCTTGGCTGGCTTAATCTGCTCCAGCTCATCCTCGCCCTGGTTGCCCATGGCGTTCTCGAGCCAAGCTGTCTCGTCGTCATCGTCGTTACCGGCGGAGGATGGGCGCTGGCTTCGTATCGACTTGAAGCGCTCGTTGAAGAGATGTGCGTATTCGTCGTTCTTGGAGGGCTGTTCGGTGACTTCGGGGAGGGCGCTCGGTTGGGAGACGGGGATTAGTTGCCTGTAGAGGATTAGTGTGGTGTTCTACGGAAGATGCAGAACCTCCAAGGGACGATGTGACCTGTAACCTGGAAGGTACGGGTTCTTTTGCGGGAAGGTGCGAGCGACTTCGTGGGACGGAACGCTCGAAGATGAAGAAGGCGGCACTCACTCGTTCGTCTCAGCGCAAATGCGCTCCAGGTTCTCTCGCTGACGTCGAAGCTCTTCTGGGTCTGGCTGGGGCGCGTTATGTGTGCTGCTGGCGGTACCATAGTTCGGCTGGTACTGGTCTCCGAGTAGGTGCGAGGCGTCCGAGTTCTGTGAGGAATCGTGAGTACTTGCGTGCAGCGATAGGCTGTCTATGAGCACTTACATCAGACTCAGAAGTCCTGCGCCCTCCCAGGCACGACGAGCAGATACCCATCGAATGGGCGCGACGGTGGCTGGCGGAAGCGGTGGAGCGATGTACGCGCTAGTGTGAACGGACGTCTATAGTCTATACGGAAGCGACGAAAAGGTGACGAGCAACTACACGGGGCATGCTGTACGGCCCGTAGAGAAGAAGCTGGCGCAGTTGTCGAAGTTCACGAGCGATGCTTCCTTGAGTTGTGATGATCGGCGCCGGCAATCTCCGGGGGTCTTGGCGGGCAAGGAGCCGCATCGTCGCTTGGGCACCCTTCCACCTTCCACCTTCGCTACCTCGCCTCATTTGATGGCTTGCAGCTCCATCCCATGTCCATCGGACTGCTTGCAGCTTGACGCTTGGTCTCCTCTCTCTACCAAGCACTCTATTCTTTTTCGGCAAACGATCGTCTCTCACGCAAAATGCTATCCACCATCGGATTATCCTCACGCGTCGGCACATATACAACATCATGTATTTTTATATACACATATTAACTGTGTTGGCTAACCGAGTCGCATCACGAAGATGACCCCTGGTCTAGAGCGCCGCATCGTGCATGAAGTGTTGATCTCATCAAACTTCACCGATGAAGACGGCGGCGAACAGCCAAGAACTTTTCCGCCTCCCATGTCTTGCAACAAAAGAAAGCCCGCTTCTTTCTACTCCGAATCACTTGAGCATCTGTCTACAAAGAGTTTGCCTTCTTTGGATGATCAGCCCGCCCCGTTTTGCTCATTGGGTACATTCCTCCCCGCTTTGTCTCTTAAGCACAATGCCACCTCATACAAGGAAAAACCTGAACAGGCCTGCGGACTACATCAAGACAAGAATCTGCAAAGTGGGTGACCCAACGTCAACGTAGGCTCTAGGGTGTTCAGTTTTTTCCTAGTTTGGCGTGATGCGCTGCTCACTGTGAACTGGAGACTAGTGCAGTTGGATACCCCCCACGGCTCCTCCCACATCGCCTCGAGGACCCTGCCAAGCGCTCTACTAATCCCGCCGTCGACGGGTGGTATTCTGCGCCGGAGGATCATCACCGTCGCGCGAGCGCTTTAACCTCGGCCCTGTGGGTGGTTGGGGTCTTGGGTCCCTCGGCGCGTTCGTAGTCCTCGTTGGAGGTTGTCGAGGCTGATCTTGGGGCGCTGTCGAGCGAACGTCTGTAGCAACAGGGCGCCCGATGCGAGGTGGACTGCGGTTATCCGGTGCTGCCTGAGCCCTAGGCGGACGGGCATCTGCGTCCGTGTCGTCATCGGATGGCTTCGGCTTGTGTAGAGCATCGAGATATGCGAGACCAGCTTTCATGTACTCGTCTAGGGAGTCGTCCGCGGTCCGCAGCTGTTTTAACGCATCGACGTCCAATCCAGCGTTTCTAGGGATACGATCGAGCCTCGCGGCAGCAGATCCAGGAGATGCTATAAGGAAATCGCTCAGGCGTTGCAACGGCCAATAAAACTCAGGTTCGACCTGACCCCAGTAATGAGACCTCGATGGGAGAGTGACCTTTATCAACTCGCCCGCGAAGACATGGGTCTTCGGCTTGAGATTTCTTGATTGCGTCAATGGTCTCACTTCGAGTAGGCTGTGCGGACTGTCATTCCCAAGAGATCCATTCGAATGGCCTTCAGTAGCGATCCCCATGTACTTCGCGTACTCCGACTTCGGTATTGAAGGCGTTTCTTTCAAGCCGCGGCCACCGCTGGTGTGAGCAGCCCAACCAAGGAGATAGCTGGGCTCTACTCGTTTGATGATGAAAGGCACATCTTCTTTGACGTTGATCATGCCTTGCGAAGACGGTGTGAACTTTTGTCCAATTTTCGCTTGATCGTCAGAAGAGAAGTCGCAGAATCGGATCGAAACCATATCGGAAGTGTAAAAGTGCTTGGTCAAGTCGTCGTATGGCTTCTCTGGAATTTCTCCGTACCCGGAGTTGAACCAGTGCCTTTTCCTTGCGAGGTTATCATAGATGGTAAAGCCCGTGCTGGGAGATCGTTGTCGAGGTTGCCGTCTCCACGAGGGCTCACGATGGGAAGAGCGAGATGGTTCCTCGCGCCTTTCTCGCTCTCGGCCACGCTCAAGGCTGGGGGCTCGGTCATTCCTTCTATCATCGTCTTCATGTCGCCTACGAGATGTTTCCGTACGTTCTCGTCGCCGACTATGATATCTATGCCTTATGTCCCGCCGTCGACTACGAGATCTATTCGTATGTTCTCGTCCCCGGCTATGATTTCTGTGCCTTGGGCGTCGACTACGAGCCCTGTGGATTCGTTCTCGGTGCTCACTGCGAGATCGGTTGCGATGATTTCGACGTTGATCTCGAAGGGGTGATCGTTGAGGTGAGCGACTCCGACGACGAGGGGACTTGTCTGATTCTTCATGTTCGTATGGCCTACCATTATCTCTGGAGCGACCTCGACGGTCTTGTTGCGCTGGCACACTTTCGGCATATGGGTCGTCCCGTAATCTAGCGTCGGGAACACGGCGCGCAGGATCGGGGTCGTAGCGAGGCCTTCCAGGCGCCTCCGCGGATCGATTCGTGCTAGGCATGATGAGAGTTGACCCCTCCCCTTTACAAACTTAGGTACAGGAAAGGTCCAGTTGGGTTGAGTGAGTTGTGCCAACGGGGCGGTAACAAGCGTAATTCCATAGGAGGGCCTGATGAAATAGAGGCAGGGCTTGAGCCCGCCCTGGCCTCAGTGAATCATGGAGGCAATTACGTTGGCCCTGCAGTAGGTCGCCCGTCCAGGCACGGGCACAGTAAGTTGCACCAAGCATCTGTCAAAGTCATGTGAAATCATTGACAGTAATGCCAAGTGACGAAGACTACCAAGTCTGAATGGTCTCAATGAAAGAGACTGATCTCTTTATTGTGATCATACTACGTTTCATAATCTGGATATATGCGGCGCTCCAAACTTCCTTTGTTCGGGCCTATATCATCTTGCTCATTGCCATCAATGCCGTCATTACCATCATTGAATCTTCAAGCGCCCAACATGGAGGATATCTTTTACTCCAGATATGATCCCAGTTACCACACCAATCAACGAGAACTCATCTATGATGACTGGACAGTACCTGGCAAGGAACAGTTGCGATTAATCGATGGGCCGGCCGAGTTTGTAGAGTTCCGCGATGGCCGAAAGCGTGGCACAGCTTTACTGCTTTCAGAATCGCTAGCAGACGGTATACATAAAGCCTTATGCATCGCTCACTCGTATTGGGCTCTTCCTGAGAAAATCGATGAGAGAGAACAGACTTGTTTCGAGAATGAAATACGGATGCAGTCCTGGAACAAAGAGGTGGAGCACCTCATCAAGATCACAAAAGATGAGATGAGAAGGAATGGAAGGGCAACGCGCGAGCAAAGAGATCTTCTAAGGGAGCTATTTGTAGAGCAAGAGCAGTGCCATAGGGGGCTGAAAGACAACCAACGTCATCGCCAGAAGCTCGAGGATACAATCAAATTGGGTAAAGAGAGATGGATTAATGCTTGGCTCAAAGTTCAGAAAGAACTCGACCGCGTATGGGTGGGTGCAGGCCGAGTTAAGGAATTTCGACATGGCCGCCCACACGAAACAGATGCTTCAGTGCCCAGACGCCGAGAGCCACGCGCTCGCTCAAGGTCTCGGGATAGAAGACATCGACGCCAGGAACGATCGAACGGGCGAGATAGGGAACACTCTAGCCACTACTCTCCTTCACGGTCACTAAGGCATGGCCATAGACGACATCGGGCCCGGAATTCCCCGCATCGCAATGTTGGTCACAGAAATCGTCCGTCTTCGCCAGCGTCATCTCATTCTCATGCTCAGAGTGATGCGGAACTGTGGCGCATGGAGGAAAGCATTTGCGATGTGGGCGAGATAACCCCAGCACTTCTAGCGATTACAGCAAAACCGTCGCATGACTGGAAGAGATCCAGTGGGTATCAAGATGAGAACTGCCAGGCTGCTGAACGTAACATTACGCCATCGGCGATTATCGCAGATGATATCGTACAGTCAGCCAGCGATATAAGCATCGAAGACAGCGTGGAAGCAATGACAGGGCAAGGTATCACACACTCAACACCGATCTCGCGACAGGCCCAGGACTTCAAAGATGGCCTACGACAATTAGCGCTGGAGTACAACAAGAGAGACACGCCATCTTCAAAGCTGACCGCACCGTCTGAAGACTTGCCTTATCACCCCAGTGGCAATAAGCGGAAGCGGGAAGATCGGGAGCTCAGTGAACCAAGCGAAAGGAAATCTAGGAGAGTAGTCGAGTCTCGAAATAGTGTGCGCGAAACCCCGTTACGTAAAGACTCAGCTATCGAGTGGCTCCAGGAAGAAACGCGTGAGCAGGCAGTCGTGGAAGGGACTCCAGAGTCGATGAGAATGTCGATTCGCGACTTCTTTAAGCCGTATCAAAGTCGTGGCGAGAGTCTGTGTTAAGCCTAGTTATAGATAGATGATTGTACTTTTGTAGTCTGACACCCAAATGAGCTTTTCCCGTTTTCATCCGTGTTGAAACGCGACCTGGCAGGCGTGATCATCACCCGTGAGGTGCGACTGTGAGCTCATTTCCGGCTTTCGTTGAAATCTGCGCCTTCTCTGCGCGGAACCAATGCTCTAATCGCTTTCTGTATCTGGTCTGTATTGGCGGAATTGTGGCGCGCTGAAGTTCGGACGATTTTGTTGTTGTGATGTTCGGGTGGCTCGAACCGCGCGCCGGCTCAATTTGCGGCCCGGCATGATGATTGCCTTGGCGTCCACGAGTCCCTTCTCAACCTTGAAGGGTCTGATCTTTACGCCACCATAGAGTAGCTAGACATCCCTCACATTCCAATGCAAGCGTGTGAGCGGAAACATGAGCGTCGCCAGGATGTTCGCTCGAACTCGCACCATATCGGTTCAGAAAGGGCTCGTAAACAAATCGTCCATGACGGCACTCGCGTCTACACGTTCACTTTCATCTACACTTGCACGCCCCTCTCAGCCTAGTCCATCGATGGATTGGTCTACACATACTTGCGACATCGATGCCGAGCCTTTGCACCGTTACAAAAGCGGTGGATATCACCCCGTTCACCTCGGCGATCGTTTAAGCAATGGCAGATACAAAGTCCTGCACAAATTAGGCTGGGGTGGATACTCGACTGTCTGGGCTGCGCGCGATACCAGGTCCAGCTTTCTGTGAAACAACGACAACTTGAGCTGAGATGCTGCTAGGGGCCAAACGTATGTCGCTTTGAAGATATCGGTATCCGAGACAACCCAACAAAATCGAGAGACTGCAGTCTTGCGTACAATAACGGCAGCGCAATCTAGTCAGCCTGGATACCAGCATCTTATGAGAATGATAGATTCTTTCCATATCAGTGGTCCAAACGGAACGCACGAGTGCCTGGTGCTAGAGCTGTTAGGACCAAATGTGGCCGATTATCTCGACGCGCATTCCATGGAAAGGCTTCCTGGGAAGCTTGCGAAAACCATCGCGAAAGAAGCTCTGCTTGGCCTATGCTTCCTTCACGAGCGAGGAATTGCGCACGCAGGTACAGTATGATGCCAGTGTTCAAATAAACTCTGCTCAGCGTCCTTAGATCTGCACACCCGCAACCTAGCGTTCACGATCCCTTCGCTAAAAGCCTTGCGGGAAGAACACTTCCTCCAGAAACTCGGACGGCCCGAGACAGGCACCGTGGAAAGAAAGGATGGCCAGCCAATTGGACCTAACATGCCTCGATATCTCGTCAGACCTACTTCTTACCCCATCAATGTCAAGTCGCCCTCCAATTCGATCAAGATCATTGATTTTGGTCAGTCTTTCTCACACGACGAGTGTCCTGGCGCCCTGCGTACTCCACTTCCTGTTCGCGCCCCGGAGATTATCTTCAAGGATAAGGTGGGCTATCGTGTAGATCTTTGGAGCATGGGTTGTTTGGTGAGTTCGACTTCTACCATGCAAGCCCTAGAGCGTCTCGATGGATAGCTGACATAGTATCAAGCTTTTCGAGCTCGTTGTCGGCCAGCCGCCGTTTGACAGCTTCATGACAACGCCTGCAAGCCTTGTGCGTGAGATGCTTGAGACAGTCAGCGACGATTTGCCGGATCGTTGGAAGTTGGATTGGCATGCCATGAAAAAAACATTGGACGAGAGCGACCCCACTTGCTCGCTTCAAGAATGGTTAGAGGAGATGTACTTTGATGGGGAAAGGCGCGAGGATATGAGCCGAGAAGACATTTTGCGTGTCGGCGCACTCATAGGAAGCATGTTACGAATGGAGCCTTCCGCTAGGGCATCAGCGAAAGAGGTTGTTCAGGATGCTTGGTTCCGGGAGGAGTAACATGTCTCAGGTATTAATGTTGTAGCACGTCGCTCTCGCGACCTGAATCGACACGTTGACACTATCGTATGTAGTCGCAGATAATTAATGTATTAACATTGATGCGCATGTGAACTCGATCGTAAAATTGACGAAAGAGAACACCTGGGCAGGGTCATTGCAAGACTATGAGTGATGTCATGACATGTGCTTAGTGTCACCGTGCGCCTCGTCTTCGGGTTAGCTCCAGGCGATCATGTCGTAGGTCTCGCATCTCCGCCCCTCGACACCTTTTTCCTCTTATTATATCAAAATCGAAACGGCTATCGCACAGTCCATCGTTCTTCAGATAGTTATCCATTCCTCTGCGCCTCAGTTCTCGTCGCAAGTGACATGTTTTGACACAAGCACACGAGAACACCTCTTTATTGGGACTTTCGTGCCCCGAGTCCGCCGCGCCAGCAGAGTCTGAAGACTTCACTTATCCTGTGTTACAGCCTTCGCGAATCAATGAGGAGCACGATTCGAGATGCGGCATGACCTACAATTTCGTTGTTATCAGCACCCGACAGCTGTCGACCCATGTTGCGGTCGCAGCAATTAGGCTTGTCGGACCATCGTCAACGCAGTTATCATACGAACAGCGAGCATTGACTGAGGCTATCACGTTACGATACCTCTGTTAAAGCTCGCATATACTGCACTTTGAACAATGAGGTCACTTCACATAGGGTCTTGCAGTCAGGAAATCACACAAAGAACCACGTAGACATCGTCTCGTGCCTCGGTCGTTAAGGAACTTCGATGACAAAAGCTTGAACAAGGCACATCGCGCCATCGAGAATTCTACACTTCATTGTTCTACACGAATTACAATGAACAAGGTTTCGTTTTATATTTCGGCGATAACAAGCCCATTTCCTCAGTTGAAGCTCAGCGTAAGGTACATCGACAATACCTCTTGAGATGAGTCTCCGACATTGACCCATTTACGCGCTTCGGAATCGGATACCAGGGGAACAAAGAGGCCTCTTTTACTCTCAACCATAGTTGAGTAGATCCCCGTTCTGGTACTCACCACCCTGCTCATGCCTGCCACGACCACCATCGTCCTCGTAGTGTTCACGCTCGGGACGGCGGTCCTGGTCGTGATCGTGATCGCGCGGCTCAGGATGCTGGTACTCGCCACCCTGTTCAGCTCTGTCACGGCCACGATCGTCCTCGTAGTTCTCACGCTCGGGGTTGCGGTTGTCGTCGTGATCGCGCGACGCATGGTTATGGATAACGTGAGGCTGATATCTTCCATCTTGCATCACGTTGTTCACTGGCATGAAGACAGGACGGTTGATATTGTCGCCGAGACGCGTGTCGGCAGGGCGGTCGTGGCCTTCTTGCTGATGATTGGGTTGATCAGGTTGCGCTGATCTACCAGGGTAACCTCGAGCATAGTCTCCGTTTCGGTCAGCTTGACGTTCACGAGGTAGTGGACTTCGCGACCGACTACGTTGCCTTCCAGGACCACGTGCGGGACGATCGCGAGGCCTACCGCCACCTGTGCCACGAGGACCAGTAGGGATCTGGGGAGATGACGGTGCATCTTGAAAGGCAAACACTTCTCCTCCCGGTGCTGGGACGTACGGGGGAGGTGCTGGCATTCGGTACGCTGCAGGGAACAGCTTTGGCTTGATAGAGCCGGTTGGTTGCTGCCGCGGATAGTGGTTATTCTCCAAACCTCGCCGTACTGCACCCTCGTCGACTCCGGATGGGGTTGGAGGCATGTACTTGAGCTCGGCAAGCCCAACAAAAGCGGCATTGCGAACCCACTTAACCATACCAAGACTGTCGTCTGTGAGATATCCTGCGAATATGAAACCCTGAGTGGGTATGACTTCGTTGGCAACAAGTACATTGAAGTTGCAATGTGTCTTCAACTCCTGGACTGACCAGCCTTCATCTTCCTTTGGATGCATGAGGATATTGTCATGGGGGCTATGTTTCCTTGAAACATCTTCGGGCCAACCTCGACGTTCAAATGGAAGTAGTCGCATGAATTGCCAACGGTTCCCAGGGTGTATCTTGTCCAGATCATGGCCTTGAGAAGTACGGCCCCAAGTAACTAGGACTACGTTGGGGAAGACTTTCTGGACTAAGCAAATTCTCCATCCTGAGAGAGCTTTGCCATGCGCAGTCAAGCCACATTTGTCCCCCAAGACCTGTTTTGGGTCCACCGCGTACTCGGAAGTACGAAACCAAAAGAGCATGCCTTCCCAAAACACCTCGTCGAGACGTTGCCGGATGGGTTGTGGTACATGAGTGGATTGCTTAGACATGATCATCGTTGTCAAGCCATCATATTGCGGGAACAAGAGCCCGGCAAGGTCAGGCATTTCGAGACCAAGATTTCCGCGCTTTATGCAACCGCCATTGGAAGCCCACCAAGAAGCGAAGTCTTGAATGAGAGCCAGCATCTGCCTCTGACCAAGTGGTGTACTGAAGTCAACGATGAGGTTTGGCCTTTGTTGTGCGCTTCCATACGCTGCTAGGAACTGCATGACCTTGCTTGTCTTGAATGTGTGCTCAGTATCCGCTCGTGGAATGGTAATAGGTGCATCGGTGGAGCCTAGGGGTGGCTCCCGCACGACGACATCTTGGTATGATTGACCCTCACGACTACTACCACTAGGGCTGAGCTCGACTGGAGAGGAGTTTTCAGACGGTGGGCGAACAGTAGTCGCATGTACGTCGCGTCGGTTATTGGCAATCTGTTCCCGCGCTTCGTGAAGCTGTGCGGTCTGGTCTTGGGGAATGGCGACTAAGCTACGCTCTTCTTGACGAGATAGTGGAGGAGCTGTGTTGGTATCCGGACGAGACTGCGGCTCGGCTGGCGCACGGTTGGATGTTTGCCTATTATGAGGGCGTGTAGGTTGCTCTCGTGAGCTAGCAGCAAGTTCCCGCTCTTCTTGAGGGAACTCCGAAGGTGTATGATACCCGTCTTGGCTATCAACACTCGCTTCACGTGCTTCCCGTTGTAGTCGTGAAGAAGGGGCGTGAATCGGCTGCGGAACGCGCTCGATTTCTTGTTCAGGTTGCGGGGGAGGGCTGGCCGGGCTCAGTGTCGAGCTTTCCGAATCGGAGACTACGAACTCCTCGGGTTCGAGTGTCGCAACCTGCTCTTTAGGGTATAGCCCACCGTCATTCGGGCGTGTGCCTCGTGATGCTTGCGGACTATCTTCGCCTGTCTTAGTTAGGAAAGCTCTGGATGATATAGGTATAGCCTTACCTTGATGACGACGATGTCCCGACATGTTTGGCGGACTCGCAATCGGTGAGCGATCTGTATAGACGCGGTGTTCGAAGGAGTTGTGATAAGTCGGTTGAGGGTTAAGTTGTTTGGTAAGGTCTTCCCGAGAAGGAATAGTGAAATGCGGAGTTGATGTAGTAGATTGCGTTGGAATGACTCGCAGTAGGTGCATCAGCAGTGCGAGCTCTGTGCTCTCATGAAGACCCAATTCATTATATTCAGCACGTTCTTGGCGTAGTGCACAATTGGCAGGGCTCGACTCGCGAAACGGGTCAGTGAATGCTGCATGATTATCCAGTAGCCGTATCTGCCGCTGCCACTTAGATGGATAAGATCTGATTGACATCCGCACTTAATACGCCCAGTGGGGTTCGAAGGCTTTGATGTAATCTAAGTGTGGTAGCCAGGCCGTGACGTATCAGGTCCCCTCGAAGAGAGAAGTATCGTCAACACAAGAGCTGGTGATAGCCAATCAGGTCACGCGGTCATACACTGTAGAGTGTCTCACTTAAATCCTTCTGATCATGGCGTGGCTGGTGGGACTAACTGAACCTTTGTTTTCAACTCACAAAGCGGCACCGTGGTCAAAGAAATTTGCCAGCTTTGTCTTTGTGCTTAAAGGTGCGGAAACTTCGCGCATCTTCGCAAATTCACGTTCGTCTCCCAAGAAGAATAGAGTCATGTACGACAACGCAGAATTAGAGACGACCCTCTCGGAAAGAGCATGTCAGAATTGGGTTCGTCCAACAGCACATTTGTCGACATCGAACAGTGTGCGGCCGCGGCTTAAAAGAGTACGAGACGGTAGGCGCGAAACTTGGGCATTGGTTCTAACAGAAGAGCTGGAGGGAAAGATTCAGACGGCTCTCGCTTTGGGACGTGGTCATATCCAGGGAGTTAAGAACGTCAAGAAATGGAAGCACGAGTTGCTCTTGAAGCAAGCCGACAACACCGGATCTTTGGAGGCGCTCACGCATCGCCTGAACGTCAAGCGATTAGAGATCCAACCAAACAAAGAGCCAACTGAGTTGCAAAAGAAAATACTGACGAGCCTAGCCCAAGGTGTCGAGCGACTGAGAGCCAACCAAGTCGTCATGGATGGAACCATTGCAACATATGATAGCAAAGTCGCACGCGGTTTGGACAGGTGGCGGAAGGCTTGGACAGAAGTAGACAAAATCCTAGCCAAAGTATGGACAGATGCAGGGCGTTTAATGGCGGACGACGATTCGGATGCGGACAACGAAAGGCCACCTAGAGCGACTGAGTCAAAGAACGAAGTCGGACGAAACCGAGGCCGGGCGACTATACCTGGCGAAGACGTGCCGTTAGCTGCACCGGAGGCAGAGCCCGCTCGACAAAGGCAGGCAGGAAGGCGAAGAAGCGATATCTCGGAATGGCAAAACAGTGTCCAAGCCCAAAGCCCCACGAACCTCGACAAGGGGAAAGGTGTAAATACCCATCACAGGCATCCCACAGGACGACCCTATAACAATGGGGATCTTCAAACATCTCCGAGCTCGTCCCAAAACTCTAATGAGTATCTGCGAAGACCGTATCGGGCATATCCGTCGCGCCCGCCGCCGCCGCCGCCGCCGCCTCCCCCACCACCACGTCATGTCAACGATGTCTCCATGCCCAGCCACGCGCGACAACAAGCGCGTAATCGTGACGCGCATCGGGAACGACGAGATCGAAGTCGGTCAAGCAGTCCAGGACGCGAACGAGGTACATCTAGAGACGCACCAGACTATCGGGAACGCAATCACCGCGAAAGTCAGCAGCATAGGACTCGCGATGAAAGCGCCCGGAGGATAAGAAGTAGGAACACTCCAGAGGACGATACCAGGGGCTGTGGTAGATAGGGTGCTTTGTGAGAATGGTAGTGTTTGGTATGAAGCAAAACATCGTGTAGTAGACCAGTATCGTCGCTTGGTGAGTTTCGTGAAAGGTCAATCACACTGTAATCTAGAGCAGCTTTTTGTTGACGAGACGAGACCTGCGAATATGAAGGAAGCGATGGTATGATTGATGATTGCAATCTGTCATGCATCAGATCATGACTTGTTAGGCGGCAGCGCGCCCAGACAACACTGGCGGGATACTATATAGGAGAGAAATTCGAAGACTAGCTTTTCCACGACGCACGGTGAACCAATTCGTCACTGCGTTACGAAGCAACCATATACTTCACCTTCAAACACCACCCGGTAGCTGCGAGCAAAGCTAATCATCCCCATCGGTACGTTTCCTCTCTGGACTGGATGACGGGCTCGATACCGGGTGATTGAGATTGAGGGACTGGTTCTGTTCTGTCACATTGAGGATGGCATTGGTCATTACTCCGTCGTGCTGATGTAAAGTTTGTGCCATGGCAGGTTGGTTGGCAATCGAAGCGATCTTGGGCGTGGTGTTAGCATGAGAAGGAGCTTCCCGTTGGCCGGTGGCTGGGGTACCGGCCTTCTCGCCCCCAAATCTTCGACCTACCCTCACCGCATCCGCAGCAGGCGCTGGTGCATGCTGTTGCGGATGCGATACCGGGCTGAAAAGAGTGCGAGGCATGACGCTAAATGGACTGACCTTGTTGACAGATTGGTTTCGAGGGTGATCAACCGAAGACCGGGTTTGATCCTCATTCAAAGTTGTTGTTGAGTATGCTGAACTGAACGCGCGTGACTTTTGGAGAAGATTTGCGGGATCTCTCACAGGATCTCTTGCGGTTGTCCCTTTAGAAGGATGGATGCGCAGTTGATGGAACAACCTGTCACCTGTTCGCTCAGCCTTTGGAAGAGGCATAGCACTCCGAGGGTAGGGGTCTACCAGCTCAAGGCCGCGCTTCACCGCAGCCTCATCCATCCCTTTTGGGTGTGCGACGAGTTTTCCATCTGGGCTGTTTGCATTGGCTTTCAGTCCAAGGAAGAGGTCGCGACTGTCCTTATCAAGTTTTCCCGCGGGTAACATCTCCTCGCTAGGGTAGTGTGGCACTACATCTATTGCAGAGAAGTGTGTGTGTGCACCGATAGCCTTGTCATCGTAATCTGGGTCGGGAATATATGTCAGCGACGCGTGAAGTGAATCGTTATGCTTAGCTCGCATGCTTCGTGGCAGTCTTCCGTGTTTACCACTGTGAAGATGTAGGTACATCCAGATGTCGTCTTTGTCTAGACGTGACAGCCCCTTCCCGCCACTAAGTCGGCAGACCGTCGTCCAAATACATCGTGGAGTCACTTTTGTGACAATGTGCAGACGCCAGGCAGCACAAACTAATCCTTGTGGGCTTGGGGCGGCCTTTATACCCGGCTTCAGGTTTTGGTCGGCTGCGAACTCTGTCGAGCGATCCCAGAACATATCTCCGATTGCGAAGTGATGGGTGTAATCGAGTTCCAACCGCTTCGGAATGCTGCTGGCATAGGGCGACGTGATGATGGTAAATATACCTTCATACTCGAGCGAGGGATCCACTAGAGCTGCAAGCCCGACAATCTCAATACCCAGGACCCCTATGTCGCGGACCTCGGTCACGCAAGGAACAAGCATACCAAGCACGTCTCGTAATTGACTCAGTACGGCCTTACGTTCAAGGTCACTGATTGCCGAAGATGTATCTTCCATGTATGCAACAATCTCACCAGTGACCGCTGCAACATCCGCCATGATCCGCGAGATATCCGGAGTCTGTCCGCCGAAGTGTGCTAAAGGTGGTGTGAGTAGGCGATCCGATGTTGATGGGCTTTGTGGCGTGTTGTTGGTTTTGACGCGGACTCTTTTCTCGTCTTCGTCAGGATCGTGTTCGTGAGGCCGTTTCGTGGAAGTTAATTGAAGGCCTGGCTGAATCTTCCTGACGGTCGATTTTGGCTGGTTGTTGCCAGTGCTATCATTCGACTCGTGGTAAGTAGCTTCGCTATGCTTCAGCTCTTCAATAACGAAAATATCAGTTGTGATCTCGGCATCATCACCCGAATTGTCAGCCTATGTTATGTCAGTCGCTTTTAATGCGCGTGCTGGGAGATGTATATGCAGTGCAGGGATTGAAACAGTCAATCGGGTGACTAGAACTTTGTACGTACCGAAGACTCATGCCCAGATGTTTGCATATTAAGGCGGGTGTGCGGTATCCACTGTGTTGACTATTGGTGATCAGAAGATGGTGTCTCCCTCGTATCCGTATTTCTTGTTAGACGTTGGTTGGGTGGTGGTGTTTTGCCAGCGTTGGCTGTGTAGTTAGGCAGAGTACGGAGTCAATTAAAAGACCCGAGTAGAACTTCTTTCGCAGTAGAGTGGAGCGCAAACTGGGTGTGGCGCAAGAGCACCCGTGCCCTGTAATGAATTCGAGCGTTCAGCGCACGTGACCAGAGTCAACGGTGTTCGAGACTGTAGTGAAAGTCGAACCATACTTCACATAGTGCAGGTTGCGCTGTTTTGACAACCATGGGTAATGATTGGATGTAGCTCGTCTAAGGTAAGTAGTTCCCATACCAGGGGCATATTCATAACGGGAATGGTCGCCGAGGCTACATCTGACTTTTGCTTGCGTCTTTCAGCGGGAGCTACCCGAGGCACCCTCATCCAATATTGTACGGAACTAAGATCGAGGCTGAATAGCTCCCATGAAAGCATGCTTTGTCTTGTTCGTAGTCCTTTGTGCGCTTGTCTGAACTCTTGTTGCCGTACATAAAAGGCCGTCCGTTCCGTTCTTTCATCGACGAACTTTATCTTAATTGACAGGAAGAAGAAATCTCACCATCATCTCTACGGCCAGAACCAGTGAAGATGCCTTACCATGCAGGACATCCGCCCACTAAAGAAGAAGCTATCGTCGCCCGTTGGGCGGCCCCAACCGCGGCCCGTAACTACACGCGAAAAAGTCCGAAGCTGACAGAGATCCAAGAAGGTGATGATAGCACCCTTGCTTTGACACTCTGTCGTGATCTGGCAATGAGGTTTCAACGAGCGCTTTCGTTGGGCCGGCAGCACAGATTGTCTACTCAATTCACTAAAGCTAAGATGAAGGAGCTCAAGACAGAAAGACTTGACAACGCAGGTCTGGTCGAAACACTTGAGTTTGAGCTGCAGCTCAAAAAGAGGGAGCTTGAGCAAGCTCTTGTGCCAAGCGACCAGCAGAGAGAAGAGCTTAGAATCTTGGCCAAAGACTTCCATCGCATGCGCAACAATAAGGACGTGATTGACAGAAATATCGTCACCCTAGAAGAAGGTGACAAGAAAGAGATAGAGAGATGGAGAGATGCGTGGTTTGAAGTGGATAAGCTGCTAGATAACGTGTGGATGGAAGCTGGCATATTGAAGCAATATGAAAGCACCGGCGAGAATCGAACTGGAAGACCGGCGGCCACTTCTGGCAATCGAACCAATAATGAACAGGGCCAGACTCACGGCGACGGAACGAATGGCAGAAGCCGCGGGGAACGAAGAGATCGACCCCGGTCCAGACGCAGAGAATCGACGGAAGCCGCGACACGTCGAAGAGAAAGACGCGCGGACCGGACGGGAGTGATGTACTACAGCGATCGGTCGGACGAGCAAGATGACAGTTCCGATCAAGTCGAAGAAAATCGCCAAAGATGCAGCCGCACTGTGGAGAGGAGAAGAGAGGAACGACTTACTAGACAAGAGCATGAAGGTGGAAGAACAAGCAGTCCACGCCTACGCTCGAGAGAAGCTGTAGATCGACGAGGAGAGACCGGGCAAAGAAGGAGGGATTCTCCGAGGCTGAGAGACCCAAGTCGAAGTCGGAGCCGATCACCCTCCCTGGATCAGAATCGAGAGAGACGAGAACGTGGTCGAAGAGATTCTCGTGATGGCCTGGAGAGGGGAGAGTATCGTGACCGCGACGGCGTGGTCCGACGCTATCCCCGGTGAACGCAGCCCTCAGGGGATCACCTTAGATAGGCCATCCAGTTCCTTGTCAGCAGCCACCCGAGAGAAGAATGCAGCCGGAAACTGCGCTCAAGGCACGGACTGGGTGACAGAGATTGGCTTCGTTTTATAGACGATAGCAATCAACGCCAGCAGAGCTGTACGCAAGCGGAGGCGAGAGGATAGCTCCCAAACACAAGGGTCGCAAGCATATGGTGCGTAGCACATGCACCATGGACTACGCAAGCTGTCGAGCGCGGCGGAAGCTCGTCACCAAGTATCCACCGAATGCACTTCCAAGGTATGCTACTATCAGGTGTGGTGCGGTACGCAGGTCGAAACCGATCGTTGGAGTTCGTCAGTCTCATCTACAAGACTCGACGTCGGTGACGGGATGGCGCAAGTCAAGCGTAAAACGACGTGCGGCTTGAGTGGATTATCGTACGAGGATTCGACAATCATGTTGGCAGGAGATGATGAAAGCTCCTGAGAAAGATTAGCACAAGTAAAATGATACCTCCATTCAGAGCTCTACTGAGAGCAGATAGCAGTCAAAGTAACATAAATTGAAATGAACGAAGAGCTTACCTCTTAGTCCAAGGCTCTGCCCAGGTGGCGCAACATAACACCGAACTCCAGGAGTCTTTCGATGCACGCGAGCCTCTGTGCTGGGCGCGCAAACTTTCGTCTCCTTATGGCGATCATAATGTACAGAAGGAAGTCATTGCATCTGATTAGAGACACGACAAACCAGTTGTGAATGGAAAGTGGATAAGTGCAGTGACAATGCCAGTGGTGAAAGAACCTTGGAATGCTGGATTCTCGCTCACGCGTGACTTTCGCGTCATGGTCCGTGCACTGACGTCACCAACGGCCCTTCTCTGCCCGTTCTCCATACACAAGCAAGCAACTTAGCATTCACTCACAAGAACATTAGGTGTCATCTTCTATTAGCAACACTGCCACTTTACACAAATCCGACCAGCTTGGCTCCCGTATTTTTGGAAAGCTCATATCAGCTAAGTCCACCTTAATGCAGGGCATGTACGACGAGCGCGCGCACTGAGACGAAGTGCTCGAAACACCTCACCTTGCCCAGCTTCCAAAAAGTTCTTCCGTCTCCTCTTCTCCATATACCGCCGCGCTTCCTCCTCGCCAGAACCCTCCAGGAAGTACTGCATCGCAGCATTAGGAGCGATCGTAATAACCACCAAGGCCACGCGATCCGGAAGGACCTTCGTCGTCGTTCTTGCGGTCAGTCCGGCCTCTAGACTCCCGGCAGTAATAGTTGGGGCTAATGTACACACTACCGGCCGTGATGCCATTAACAGCATTGTTCCAGGACTGATCAACGCGGTCGGTCCGGCCTCTAGACTCCCGGCCGTGATAGTTGGGGCTAATGTACACACTACCGGCCGTGATGCCTTTAACAGCATTGTTCCAGGACTGATCAACTTCTGCGGTGTGGTCCCCAAGAGGGGCATCAGCCCTGCTTCGGTCAACGTCGTCATATTGGACAGCCCTCTTTCCCTGGGTCGGTCGCGATTGAGAGCTCCTAGTATCCGAACCACGAGGGCGCTGTGGCCGATCTTTCTCGTAAGATGCCGTGTTTGAGTAGCCACAATCATTTCGAGATGAATCACGGTGGTCTCGGCCTCGTCGATCATCAGGGCGGCGGCGATGATCGGAACGCCTACGATCATTTTCGGACTCGTCATCATCCAGGAGAGGTTGAGGAGTCTTGGTGCGACGAGGGGGTAGCCGCCGGTCAGGTCGTGGATACGTTGCGAGGCCCATGGCGTTACGACCATCGTCTATAGCATCCCAGTTGATCGAGTCGTACAGTCCGTGATCCAGTTTGGCGGTTCGCTGCGATGTTATGACTCGCTTTCCAATCGTCTCCAGCAGAGTGACACTGGCATCATCGAGATATCCGGCGAAATCCCAGTCCTTCGTAAGTGTGCATCGACTGGACGCGCCTGCGAACACGTATGACATATCCGAGATGCGAACTCGCTTCGTTGCCTGGCTTGTGTCCACCTTGAGAACGCCATGGGGGCCATGATTGGTGGGATTTCGGTCGCGAGCATCAGCTACACGTAGCCACTGCCAGTATGTATCCGGCGGTATGTACGGAGCGCGTAGCCCTTGCTCACCGTGAGTCTCCACACACGTAGTCAGAAACTCGTTGTCGCCTACAATGGCGCGAACGATATGAAACCGCCGTTTCGTGGAGACCTTTCCCAGTGCAGTACCAGCGGCGTCATTTCCGAGAGGAGTACCTTCGTCATTGGAGAACCCCACTGTTCGCTCCCTAAAGACCATACCGACCTTGACTCGATGTTCAAGAGGCATCTGGGGTGCACGCGGGATGCTCACGGCTGATTTGCTGAACATCATGAATAAGCGGTCGTGGAATGCTGGGTTCAGATGGACAGCAAGGCCCTTGATCACCGCACCAAGGTTAGTATGGATGAAGACCACATTGCGCCGCAGTATCTCGGCGATGTCTTCCGTCATGAGGTCGCTGGATCTGCCAGGAAAGGAGGTGAGGCTATCGGTCATCCAGACCTCATCTGTCTTTGCTCGGCGTGTGAAGTAGGATGCTTCCGCCGCGCCCCCGTGCTTTGTGGTCCTTGAGCGTTTGGCTGAATGCATCTCACTGCCAGTCAAGACGGCGCTCGGGTCACCCTCAACTTCAGTATCGCTGAGATCGTAGGACTCCTCGTCGAAGTCATCAGAGGGGCCAGAAGTCACTTCCGTGTGTTTGCGCTTTTTCGAGACATCGGACGTAGTTCCAAACGCGGGGATAGCAGGGGCTATATCATCCTTCAATACATTAGCTTTGCTCGCGGGGTTAAATATATTGCTTTGACGGAAAAGAGATCCGTGAGCAAAGCTGGGTTGATGCTCAAGGGAGCTTTTGTTGATAGTGGCGAGATGTTATCGTACCTCGTCATAGTTGAGTTGGGGTGTCGCAGGCTGGTACGATTGAATCAGGGGAAGTTCCGATACACTGAAACCTGAAAGCATGTCAGCGACATTGAGAGAGTAATGTAGTATATCGTACCTTGTCCGCGCCCGTCCGGATCAGTCATCTTGGAAGTTCGGTCTTGTGTACTATGATTGCAAGAGTGAACAGATAGCGCTAGCAGGGTGGGGTGGTATCGAGCAAAGGGCGAGCACTTGACTTTATATTTCCCCCCGAGGAGTTGGAGCCTAAACTACGGAGTGAATTTTGAGAGGCCGAAAGACTTCGTGGTACCAAGCTTGCACCGTGACCTTGGAAGTGAGGAAATTGCGCACGGCCCCAGGATAGTGTGGTGTTGAGAACCTTCGGATGAGGTTGAATGACAGAAAACGCTGTATATGGAACGTGGTTACGTCCATGTCAAGGTGGCCAAGAACGTGAGTTCATGTCCTTTGTTGAGCGACAATACTTATGTCCTTTGTTTGACTACACGCCTTCCTCAGCTTTACAAGTTGCTTGGGCCTCCCAGGTCTCAGCCCGCAACGAGCATGCTAGTGCAGAATTATCAGTTATTACTCACCTGGACAAATCGATGAATGGCGCAGACGCAGACATTATCCGAGCTTGCGCGTGCGAAATGGAGAGGAGCAGTCGCATCTGAGTATCAAAACCCTGCTGCGACTGCAAGAGTCATCCAAGTCCAAGAGGCAGACGACGATCTGAGGAAGGTCTCCGCTGTCACATTGTCCAAGAAGCTGACTGCAGGGCTGCAGACAGCGCTCTGCCTGGGAGGAAGTTACCGTTTCGATCTTTAACGAAGCTCGGGCGCTCCGCGAAAAATTCGGAGCTCAGGGTTTGGACGCAGCTGCCCTAGCGCGATCGACAAAGTTCCAGCTAAAGCTGCCTTCGTTGACTTCCAGAGCCGGAGATCTACGACAAGGGCTTGCACTTGCATCTCCACGCCAACTGTCTGTCGTTCAACATCCACCAACAACCGTGTTCACCTACCCTATACCATTGTACCCATACATGTCAAGATGTCGCATGAACTGCCACATCCAGAGACGTCGTCTGAAAAGGCCTGCAAGCACTGGGCGACGACGGTGATTAACCAATCAACCCAAGGTTGTTGACATAGCTCTTCAACAAGACCGAGATCAGGTTAAAGTCTTAGGCTTTTCCAGACAGCTTGCAGCTAGCATACAGCGAGCGCTTTGTCTTGGGAGAAGCTTCCGAAAGTTCGAAAGCGAAGCTCAGGTTCACCGACAGCGATTTGAGACGCAGGGTCAGGATGCTGCTGGCATAGCTGAGTCCACGGACTTTCGGTTACAACTCAAGAAGAAAGAACTGGAACAAGCCGGGACTCCTAGCGAAAGACAAGCGGAAGAATTGGATGATCTATGGCAACAGTTGATGCGAAGCCGAAACAACCAAGGGATCATCCTCAATAACAAATCAATGCTAGAAGACGAACTCAATGCAAAGCGAAATGCGTGGCGCGATGCTTGGCTGGTCGTTGACCGTATGCTAGATCCGGTGTTGATAGAATCGGGGTTCCTCAAGCCATATCCAGAGCAGAGGCAAGGAAATGCTGATAGAAGGCGAGCAACGAAAAGACATCATGGGAATGGTAGATTCCAGATCAATGCTGCCGGTGTTGATCGTCAGAGTGATACAGCAGACCGACCGCAAAATCGGGCAAGAGTTGTGATTGACATATCTGGAAAGCAGCAGGCTGCCGAGATAGCGTAACTTCTATACAGAAAGTATCGGGATAACTTCGATGATGAGCTGGATAAGGCTAGATCAAAGAGCGGAGACAATACTGGACCAAGAGGGTCTGCATCCGTAGCAGCAGACGACGAAAATGAAGCTAAAGCTCGCGATGACTTCCGCCAGGACATTTGGATTACAAAAGCGCAAGAGCTGGGCAGGGCGTGGGAACAAAAACGGGATGACCTGAAGTCCGCGCAACTACGTGCTGTCGAATTGCTCCCGGAACTTGAAAGCAGCCTATCCATACGGTCCAGTTACTTTAATGTGACCGAGGATGGGGTGTGGAGATCCGGTGAATCAGCAAGGTTGAAGCTGATGAAAGCTTGTCAAGGCTGGCGTCAGATTGCGGCAAGCGAGGGTCTTGGGAGTGACGTAGGTCACTCTGTGACCAGCCCGAACAACATGAGGGATAGCATCTATAAATACTCGGTAAGGCCCCAGGACAGCGGTTCTCGAGGGATGATTGAGTACAGGGCAGCGCCCTACAGCAGGCGTGGTCAACAGTCTCCTCGTAACTCTGCGGAAGCGAGGAAAGCTAGACTGCCGGTCTGGCGTAGCGAGCTCAGACCCTCAGAGGTAGGCCTGTCGCCACTTGAGGGCTTTCGACGTGCCGCGATGAGACAGAAGTCTACCACGAAAGGGAAGGCACAGAGCAGGTTGCACTTGCGTCGAGAGGCGCCCCAGACCAACGTACATGATCGCGACCACCATGGCTACCGCCATTATAGTTCCTCAGCCAGCGAGCAAAGCTCACATCGGAATCGAGCTCCTCGAACCGCGTCGTATTCACGTAGGGCTGCTGAAGCATCGAGGCGGCATAGCCGTGAAAGACGGGAGGATGTCGATAGGCGTAGTAATAATCGGTCGAGCGATCGAGGAGCCAGTCGGTATACAGGCAGGTCCAATAGAGACAGTATTCGAAGACGCTCAAACGTGTCGCATGGGAAAGAACGCCAGCGGGATATCAGGAAGCATGCGGCGGCCGCAGCGAAAAAGCGTGTGCGTGGGAGTCAACCTCTGGGACGCGAAAGACGAACAGCGATGGAGATATTGGGGATGAGGTCGCGGCGACCATGAAGGTGGTACTGGTTTGCGGTCAGTTGGGACGGAATGACCTACGCGTGCCGTTCGAAATGGGGCGGTGGCATCATAGCAGTATCGTATTTCGACATCTCGCAAGAATCATGAGTACACTCGCGGCCTTCACATATGGTGTGCTGTCTAGGAAAAGTCGTGACGTTGCGCATTGTTGCTCAGGAGAGACCACGGAAGGGTTGAAGCGTCCACAGGCGCGCTGAAGCTTGACACGCGCCCAGCGCTAGCGCGGCGGCACGGCTGAGTCAGCAAGAGTCTTGCCTCCCTGTCCAGCACTGAAGCATCTTCATATCCTGAACGGAAGATTGCATAACTGAATGGAGCTGTTGTGAGCCTCTAGATACAGAAAAAAAGCAACTAGCTTCGTCATTTCTCTTTCTATAGCTCATCCTTTTCTTCCTTCCACCCATCGCCCACTCCTCGCATCCATTGGACCCCAACCAACTTCAATCCCTTCTTCTCGGCCAACTGCTCTGCTCTAAAACTTCTCCTCTCAACAAACTCATCTCCTCCAACATCCGCCTTCTCTACAGTCTCGCCTGCCTTCTCCTCAAATAGAAGAAAGAGGTACCGATGTGGCCCGCTCTCATCCTTCGGTCCAGGTGCCAGGTACTGCGTGATCGTCTTTCCTCTCGCGGTGATGTCTTCTGGAGAGGTGGTCGCTGATGGAGATGGAATGGAAGTCACAACCCAGTGGCGCCAGTAGCCAAACTTTGGGTCGTCTGGTGTAGGCGCATCTGGATCGATCATCATGAATGTGTAGCTTGCGGCGGAAGACGTCGGTGGAGACGAGATGGAGATGATAGGTTGCTCTTTGACCTGGCTCACACGAGCGAGACCTCCATGTTTTGGAGTAAGTCCAGAGGAGAACTTGACGCTAAGATCCAGGGCTGGGGTGAAAGATTCGGGGATAATGGCGGAAGGAAGTAGGTTGGCGCTTTTCAGCGATTCGACGAGAGCATTGGCGGCCATCTTGGTACTTCAAACTGCCAGAAGACGGGCTTGATGATATAAGAAGATGATTGTGGTCAATCTAAGAGTCGATGCGCTGGTGTAGGTGGTTTTGTTGCGCAGCCGTGATGGTCAAGGTCTATTGGTGGATAAACCCAGCTCTCGCTTGGTTCTCCGCTTGAGGCTCCGCTCTTGCACTTGGCGACCTTATAGAGCATAGATTCGGGGTGCAATAGACGATAGCGAAGCCCGGTGACGTGGGTAAGGCCGTCTACGACCCGAAGCACGCGAACGGTTAGTTAGCTTTGTGAGCACCATGACAGGCCATCACTCAGATAGACATGTCTTGCGTTCTACTTGGGCTGGGTGTTTGAACTTCCGGCTTCAGAGCTTCTAATGAAGCTCTGAACATGCCTGGAAGCAGCCGCTCCCCATAGATGCTATGAGACAAGCACTGTGATGTCTTTCATTCTGTCATGCACGGGTTGCATGCGAAGGAAAGAACATTCAGAAGGCCGGTACGTCGGGCCAGTATAGCGACTTCGTATGATACCTGGGTAGATTGAAGATGAGGAAACTTTTGCAGAAAGAAGCCAACCCCTATTGCCGATGGGTGTTGATGTACTGAGTTCGTGAGTATAGCGGGGTTCAAAGACGCGTCTTGTTCAATGCTGTGAGGCCAGCGTTCAGTATCGATAAGGGAATGCGCTAACTGGATCCAGGCCTAGTCCCAAAAATGACAAAACACGTAGGAGTGATGATGCATCTTGATCACGAGCCGTAAAGCATCTTTCACGTTCTGGACCAACTATCAAAGACTCTTGCTCAACTGCTTGACTGTTTCTACTCTACTGTTCCTCAAAGTTTGCTCTCTCGCGCCGCAAACGACTGTTGGCACGCGAAATGCAAAATAAAAAGGTTCCACCTCTGAGGATACAACTCCTTCATCCTGTCATACAATGCCTCAGCACTTGTTGTCCTGGCCAACTCCTTTTCAAATGTATAAATGTACTCCCTAGTCGACTGGATCAAATATGGCGCATCTGCCTGTGAAGCTCTCTTATGTCCTGCAACAACAATATGCGGATTCTTTGCCTCAATGAGATCGATAGCATCCAGCCACTCCTTACGTTTATCTGGCGTGTTGGCCTCGCCAAAATGCTGATGACAGTCGCCGTACACAATGTCGCCCGTAACAACAAGGTCGACTGCAGGGACGTGGAGAAAGCTGGAGAACTCATTGTCCGTGTGTCCGACTTCGACGCCATGCAGCTTCTCGCCGTCGATGAAGAATTCGCCTGAGGCAGGGAGAGCCTTCGGTATCGGCCTGGCTTGATGTATCTGATCCGGAAAAAGATTTGGCCAGACATGGTCGAAGGTCGTGTTGTACAATTCTTGGATTCCAGCTACAACGTTTTGCGTGGCGACGAATTCAAGGCCCGGAAAGTGTTCTTGTAGTACTGGCACAGCCGCGAAGTGATCGGGATGTGCGTGGGTGGTATAAACATATTTGAGCTTCTTGTTCGGAGCTGTCTCGCGAATCCATCTGGCGATCTCCTCGCCTTGCTGAACCGTGATGGGAGTATCGATGAGGGCGGCTGACTCGGGTCCGTGGACAAGTACACAGCTGATGGGTGACCAAGCTGCCCTTTCGTAATCAGGAAAGCCGGTTGTAGCTGGGATAACGGGGGCAATATAGATATCGACTTGAAGCTTGGTATTACCCATTTTGTGATTTGTGTGCAGTAATCTGAGAAATATTGTGATGAAGATATAGAATATCTCCAGTTCAATGAGACCTCGGGATCTTTATAGAGGAGCGCTTGTATGGATAAGAGGATAATCGGTACCGGCGACGATGTGAACTCTTGGTTGGTTACGTAGAATGATCAATGCAGGTGTGGGGTGCGGGGAAGCTCGAAACTAGTTTACGTCCGTACATATGCGCATCGGGGGCATGCGGAGAGACCCATGGATATGTGTATACCCTAGCTTACGCCCGTACATATGCGCATCGGGGGCATGCGGACCGACCCATAGATCTGTGCATACCCTAGCTTACGCCCGTAAATGCGTGGAAGTCTAATCGCAATACTAGGTAGACTTCCGGCTTGGCTATCGCCCCACACATGTGGTGATTAGTAATAAAAGTTTAAGGTCAATTGTCCTGTCGACTTGCCGTTGGCAATTGATTATGTGAACTTATTCAGTCCATGTGGAGATCTCTAACTCCGCAAAGGCTTGTTGTGAACTATGATGTGGATGCAACGACCAACACCCGCTATTGAGAATACATCTTGCCGCATGTGCTTTCCCTGCTCTGCAACCGTGTACTCACAGGTCATATTTCTGACATTTTTGAGTCGCAATAAGTCGATTAACGGAGGCTTATCAAAAAAGCCAAGCGAGAAGGCAGTTTAACTGCACGGATGCAAAATGTACAAATCTTAAGCAGTAGACAGAGTGCGCAAAGTGTGCTTTTTTTGGTTCCTGGTAGATTGGCAGATCAGGAGGTCAAGCTCAATTGTTTTCCACACGCCACTATCAGCCTACAATCCTTCGGGATATGGTACAGCACGATTTTCCTTGACCCAAACTTTCTCCTGCTCACTTCCAAACTTCGGCGGAACCAATCCATTGACCTTCCACAAACGCCGGTCCGTTTCATCCACGTGGAACTCCCAATCGTATCCCTTGTCAGCAACGTGAGGCTTCAAAGCCTGGTCAATTCGCCTGGCTGTTTTGTCCATCGCGATGTCGTCGTCTGGCAGGTTGACGGCAATGTGCTCGATGACGAATCGAATGAACGGCTTGTCCGTTTTCTGCTCCCCACCTATCCACATATCCTGCGGACCCACTTTGATGAAGTTGACGACAACGTAAAAAGGAGGAAGGCCTATGTCCGTATAGATCTTGGTGATGTCTTGAGTGAGAGCCTTCCTCGCGGCCGTATCCTGGAAATGGCCTTCGGGGTAGAAGACGAGCCAGAGAGGCATTGTAGAGTGTGTAGTAGGTTTTTATAGTAAAATGGTAAGAACAGAGGTTGTGAGTTCAGTAAGTCGAGATGGATGGTTGGAAATCAATAACTGATGCGACGGACGCCACAATATAAACAATCTCCATTCCCCCGTATCAATTGACAAGTAGTCTTGAATCTTATCCCCGCATCTGAAAGTTCACCTGGGCAATCTAAGATCGTGATCCAGAAGAAATTCGGGCAAAGGGAAGATCCCACTAAAAAGTGGACCCCGCAGCCAGCCTGGAGATCAAGAAAGGCTGTTGAACTAAAAGCACTTCACGGTTTGTCTGATCATCGGACTGAACCAAACAGGAGTCAATTTTGCCCATCGGGAAAAGACCGGAGCAGTAATGTTCCGAAATTTGTGAAGTTACGGCCTTTGTAAAGTTACGGCCGTATGAGATTGCTCGCACGTGCTCCGGAGTTAGTTACGTAAGCTTTGACGCAGACATCCGGAGGGTCGTAAGGGCGGAATCTGTGAAGCATTGTGATAGGATTTACCTGAGGTTGCACTAAAGTATGGATTACAAAGTTGCCTACATGTATGAGTAACCACGGTAGCTTGAGGGTAGTCTATAATATAAAGCATCCTAATGGCTCGATCCGCCTCTTCAACCACCTCAACCACCTCAAACTCATTACCCTCTTCCACAAACGTTTTTTCTGTGAATCCGAAGCACATTCTTGCGATCATGTCCACCCAACCAGCGTCTTTCCAAACGCTGGACCAAACCACCCTGCGTGGCTTGTTCTATACCCCTAAACCCTACTCCGGACAAAAGTTGCCATGCGTAGTCCTTTCACATGGCTTCTCCGCCACGAAAGATCAGGGCCTGACAGCGGTCGCCGAATATCTTGTGGCGAACCTTCCCATCACCGCTTTGGTTTTCGACAATCGTGGATTTGGAGAGAGCGATGCTGGAGTAGGCAGACCTAGACTGGAAGTTGACGCACCGATACAAATCAGTGATATTTCCGACGCCATTACTTACGCTCAGACCCGACCTGAGGTGGACCCTACCAAGATCGGGATTTGGGGCTCGTCGTTCAGCGGTGGTAATGTGCTTTGGGTTGCTGCGGTGGACCGAAGAGTGAAGGCCGTCGTTTCGCAGGCGCCGTTGGTGGAGGGATACTCTGCTTTTGCCAATTTGTTGCGGTCAGATGACATCGCAGATTGGGAAGCAGATTTCCAGAAAGGTCCGTGCCGACCCAATCCTCTAACACATCTATTGAGTTTTGACTGATTTGATTATTCTAGATCGAATTGATCGTGCTGCTGGCAAACCACCTATGATGATTCCTGTTGTCGATCCAAATCGATTAAACCGATCGGCCATGACTACAAAGGATAGTAACGCGTCCATGGGAGGTGCTGAGGGTGTCGTTCCTCACTTCAAAAACCAAGTAACCTTGAGAAGGTTTGTTACGCAAAAACCAACCTGGCAATGCCAGCGAAGATTCATTCAGCTAACTCGTGGTCAGCATGGAGAATCTTAGAGCGCATCCTGGAGCGGCCTGGATTCACCACATTTCTCCGACACCGTTACTCATGACTGTTGCAGATAACGATGTTGTGACGCCTAATGCGACTACATTGGAGGCATACAGTCGTGCACTCGAGCCAAAGGAGCTGCATTTGTTCCGCGGTGGTCATTACGAAGCATACGCCACGCAACCCAACTTCGAGGAATGCGTCAAGCGACAGGCTGATTTCTTCAAGAGAAAGCTTTGCTCTTGACCATGCATTGGGTTTAATATGAAGCTTTTGGCTATCGGATTGGAGACAGACGTAGATTTAGCGGATTGCTCGCGCAATCTTTACCAATACAAGAACTTCACTGCTTACAATATGTCACTATACCCTGTGCATCCCGAGAGAGATACTCCTCTGAGTAATTCGCTTTCCCGCAACTTTGTATCCCAGGCAATCGGGAAGAGGCACCTTAAGGCCCACAGGTCAAGCTCAGGTCGGCTCATGCCCTAGCTGCACCTCCATCATCACGCACTATGTCATGAAGATGACTACATCACCAATCTCCAATCGCGCAATACAAACAATCTGATGGCCCGGCGACTTCGCGTCGACAGAAACCACGTATCCGTCTCCCGTGGACTCGCTGAAGGCGAGCAGGACATCTCGAAACAAACTCTACAAACTACGAAAGACCTCCGTCGGCGGCAACTCCTCTCTGGGCTGCCCTGATCCGGGACTTCTGAAGATCCGCCATGCGCTGCGCTTTCCTCGCTCTACCCTCTGCTAAGAGCTTGTTGTCGTGAAGCTCTTCCCTGTCGGCTTGACGTTCTTCTCTAATCCTGAAGCGCTTCGCATGAAACCGGGCATCTTCAGATTCCATCTCGTACTTCAAGAGCTGTTCTTCTGGCGTTTGAGGCGCGAAGTCGTAGCCAAAGTTGAGGAAGTCAATGCGCTCTCCGATGTCTTCAACATCTCGCTTTCGCTTAGCGCGAAGCCGTTTTTCATTGTCGGCCGAGGATTCTTCAGACGCTTCTCTGCTCCGACGGAGAGGGCGTTCCCGTAGGTGCGTCTCTCTGCGAGACCTGCGAGACTCTGCCTGGTCATCCCTCGGATGAGGCGAGCGGGACGGCTCAGGTTGACGGGTCGGGCGGTCGACCGGGGCACGAGGTCTACGCTCTTGTGATGCGGCTGGATTACCTTCGGCTGGCGGCCTTTCATCGGCTTGTGATGGCCTTGTTGGTTCCTGGAATAGAGCCTCTTGTACCCTATCCCGCGGCAGTAGGGGACGGAAAGGCTGCCCCGGCAGCCCGTTGAACCTGAGGTTCATGCTACCTGCGTACAGTCCTGGAGCGGGTAAGATACCGATGGGTGCCCTCTGTTGCGGCGTAGGAGTGTGCTGATGGTATGCCTCGAAGTCTAACGAATGCTGAGATGGCACCGGAGAGCCATTGGCCGGCTCGTCATCGTTGTTAAAGAGATGACGTCCTGTAGCCATAGCTCGCGGCATCTCTGGAATGTACTCTGGGGTCTTTTCTCCGCCCAACTCTCTGCCAGACTCTTCAGCTTGACCACGTTCATTCGGGGAAACGTCTGGTCTGATGTTGCACATCCTATGAGCTTCTATCAGGGCGATATGTGCGTCCTTTACATCGTCCGGGCGAACAATGCCGATATTATCGACCTGATCTTGCTTCTTAGGTCTGCCAATACCTTTCGGGTGCCTCTTTCTGTTCTCGATCGCAAGTCTTATTTCTCGTTGTATCTCCCCGATGTCTAGAGCGACCTTGGACATGGCGTACAAGATTGGGATGAACTCATGAAACCAGTTTTCTAGATTCTCTCCGCCCCGTGGCCTGATGTCTTCTGGAAAGATATCGATAGCCTCAATTCTCCAGGTTGTTTCGAGGTGCTCTAGCGTCTCCTTTTTGTATGAGCCCTGCATCGCATCGGCACGGCGGTAAATGTGGCCGGCAGCCTCTTGCTCATGGGCATTCTTAACCAGCAACAGTACGTCTTTTAGTATGATCCAATGCCGCCTATCCCAGATTGTACTGCTCACACGGCGTTCTGCATTGGCGGTAATCTCTTTGAGCACTGCGACATGGTCTTTTCTGTATCGCGACACCTCCAGCAAGACACTGGCGATTGCTTCGTCCCAGGAAGGAATATCATCCCAGTCCAGTGGCTGCAAGTGAGGCGGAAACACTTCATACACATCTTTAACAGACCAGTTACGCGCGATCTCCTTTAGTTGTTCCGCTAAGACCGGTGTATCCTCTTCGTATGAAGTCGCCATGGTGCTGTCAGAATGTCGAGCGGTCTCAGAGACGGTGCACGCGATGAAGGTAGTAGTACTAGTAGCCTTGTATTAGCGGCCATGCAACTGCGGGGCGTCAAGACAGATCGACATACCTGGATGTGAATACGCGTTGGCGACGCTGGAGTCTGCGATTCAATTGCCGTCGCCGCTTGTGTAGAAAGGCGGCCGCGAAAGCTGCAGAGGTCTCTAGATCAGCCCGGGATCCTAGGAAATCTCTGTGTCGACTGTTGTGAAATGTGCGCCTAAGACAGCGACAACAGCTTCAGGTCAAAAAGGTGGGGCTGGTCAAACAAAGCTTGCGCACGTACAAAGTGAAAGAGGACGAGAACCAATGGACAATGACCTTTGTTTGAGGGGCTAGTGACTAGAACAAATTGCTCTAGAAGTACGAGAAGACTATGCGACGCTCACCCTGAAACCAGGCTGGGATATTGGCAAAGCTTCGCCCTTCCATCATCAACGTGTCTCTGGTCTCCAGCCTTGGCTATATCGATGTTGAAAGGTAGCAACTGGACCTCTTCTTCTCTTGTCAGATGCTCGTCTTCGGGTGCATAACCAAAGTTTCAGAAGCTGATTCAGTCTCCGATGTCGGTCTGGTCTGGTTCAGAGATCTCATTCACTCCTGCGTCTAGAACAGGATGTCGCAGTCAAACCCGAGGCCGTCTGTCCTTCCCAGCATCGGTGTTTCTCTTCCTCTTTCTGCCAGAACTTCCCTTGCGTCTTGACATGATCACTTCGCCATTCCTCTCACTATCGACCCTGCTCTCTACGAAGCGTACAGCACTCAAATAGCTCATGTGCATTCTTCGGTATCTTGCTAGTATCTGCAATCTCAAAGCATGGTAGTAGTCTTCCTGCGCTTGGTACAGTTGATCTTTCTCAAGATTTAGAGTTCGCAGGTCGTCTAGGGACGCACTTTTGGGGTCATCAGGGGGTTCTTCCAGCAAACCATTATCTCCATCGATGCCTGCGAACTGTTCATGAAGTGGACGCGCTTCTTTTGTCTTATCTTCGGCTGATTGGAAACACCCTTCATCGCTGTTCAGACATTCACCTCTTCGCTCAGTGTGTTTAGATCTTCTTCCATCGGTATTTGCGCGTCGTTCACTTTGGTCCGGGGACGAGTCCGGACGATCTTACCGTCTATCCGCTTCTTGGCCCTGAGTTTCGGGTAGCTTCCAATTCCTGCACATTCGATCGCAGTGAGAAGGGATCTCATGTAGTCGGTCAGCCCGCCTAGATGCCATGACGATGGAGTGCGAATATCAAAATTATGAGGCGTTGCGTGGGTCTAGAAGAGCAGAGCATAGCTTATCGGTAACGTCTACTGTTAGTTCGCGATCGTCGCCAGTGTAAGTTTTGATGGCCGAAAGAGAAGCGACCAAGCAAACAAAGGCCGTAACGCCCTCAAAGAGTATGGACAAAGACGAGTGCATTCCCATTGCCCACGCTACAGAGATGAGTTCAAACGAGACCAACTCGGTCGAGAGATCTGGTCAGACGTCTGATGGGTCGTGATGGCTAACAAGAACTAGCGAATTGTAGTATACTCCTCACTATCTCCACAGTGATGCGATAGCACTATTCAATACTAGCGCTACAACACCTTCATATGTGTATTCCTCGCAGCTATCCAGATCCATCAAGTAATACCGACTAGCTATATCGACCGCCTTTTTCGGCTTACAGATCTTCTTCTCGCACCGGTACCTCCGACAGTCTCCCTCCTACCTTCTCTCGCATTTTCTGGCATCAAATCCTCCGCCTCCGCCTCCGTGAGACGCTTCCTAACCCTGAAAAGCTTCTGTTCCATGGTCATGATCCTCAGACGATGACGAGGTAGCTTTCGAATTTGCAGCCGCAGCAGCTTCCCGTCTGATCTTCAACCGAGACTCCTCAACATCGACCATGAGCTGCGCAAATATCGCTCTACCCTCGAAGAACAGCTCAGCAGTCTTGAACCTGTACCGATCCTGATGTATTTTCGAGAACTCGACATCGACCTTAAGCTTCATCAACTTTTCCTCCGGCGTCTGGGGCTTTATTTCGGCGTATCTTTTCAGGAAGTCGAGGCTGTCTCCAGTTTCGTCCTTCCGATGCGGTACCTTGTCCATATAGAAGTCTTTCGTTTTGCGATCTGCCATAAGCTTGTAGCGCTTTGCATGCACTTTGGACAACTCGACATCGGCTCGGTACTTCATCAGCCTCTCCTCTGGCGTTTTGGGCTCGAAATCATCGTATCCGAAGTTCAGGAAGTCGATGCGGTCTCCGAAGTCTTCGGTCTTCAATTTAGGCGTAGAGATCATTTGCGGAACGGGGCGTGCATTGGGGCTCTTGGCTTTATATGCGGTCATACGAGGACGGTGACTTTGAGGGCGCAGTGCGGATCGGGAGATATCTCGGCGGTCACGCGCGCTCATTCGAGAGCTAACTTGATCCTGGTCTAGATAATTTGGCTCCTGCCGCCGACTCTCGAGTCCGGCTATGTAAGCCTTCACGAAGAACTTAGGGCTGTACAGGCTAAAGAGGGTTTTAAGAAGCTATTTCTTTACTATAATATTATAATCTAAGCTATTATATTATCTTAAGTCTTTTAAAATATATTAAGTTTATAAAGTTTATCTATTACTATAATATACGTAATATATATAAGCTTTTAATATCTTTTAAGTATTTTTTAAAAGTTTATTAAGCTAATATTAAAATAATTTTATTTCTAAAATAATCTCTACTATTAAAATCTAAATTTTTAGTAATAATAATAATAATAGTACTAAAAGTATATATATAAAGAGTTTATAAACTATAAATAAATAAGTTTTAGAAAGTTTTTTTTATATTATATATACTAGTATTAAGTATTAAAATATAGAGTTTTATCTAAAGTCTACTAAGACTAAAAAATATTTACTTATATACTACTTCTAGCTATACTTTTTAATAGCTTTTAAATTATAAATTACTTTTAATTTAGAAATATAAATTACTTTTAATATTACTTTCTAGCTTATATTTTAATTATTACTTATTTTAGGCGTAAAATAAGTTAAAATATAAATAATTTTACTTACTAAATACTATTAGAGTAATATTAGCTTTTACTAATATACCTTTAATAGCTTTTATAAGTTAATATTCTTATATACTATATTTCTAGAACCCCCTCTGCGCGGTACAGGGGTTTTGAGCAAGAGGCACTTATCCACTAGGGTATTTCCTGGTTTTGCTTGGTCTGAGTCGCTGCTGCCACGAGCACGTTTAGTGTTGCGGTCTTCGCGAGCATCTGGTGCGTCGGCAGGACGCTTCAGCGCCGGACGAAAAGGCAGGTTCATCGGAGAGTGTAAGGTTTTCGGGGTATCGCTGACCTCAGACAGGCGTCGAAGACTGCCCCCCAGAGCGCCTTCTTGTTGAGAGATCTCGTCATCAATGATCGTCGGAGGTGCACATGCAGCGCGACGACGAGCGCGTGCAATCGCATTTTCCGAGCTATAGGCGTTCATATTGTAATATCTGGGCAAAGGCGTGTAGAAGTTCAACGTGGTCGGTAACTGCGAGTGGAAAGCGAAGGCCCGCTTAAGTCCTCCAGGGAACCTTGGAAGTTCCGTGCTAGTGCAGTTAAGTGTGCACGGTGTTGAAATGCTTGAAGTGAAAAGCCTACCGGGCTATATAGTGTTACTCATGACTAACGATCTAAAATAAGCTACTGGGGTGGTCCAATCTGTCAGCCAATGAACAAAGATCGCCTCGTCGTACTTGAATATGAGAGAAGCGAGACGTTGTACGGACTTAAGCGATTACATTATCCTCGCCTGCCATCCCTGGTCTCTCTCTCATGACGCCTAGTTTCCCTACCTCTTCCTTCATCGTCTCTGTTGTACCTCGTTCTTTCTCTGCCAGCGACACGCTTGTTGGTCTCGATCACCTTTTTCTCATACATCTGCACTCTCGCCATATATCGAGCCAGCATCTTCCGCCTCACAGCTTCGTAATATTCCTCTTGCGCACCAAGCAGTTGCACTGCCTCGTCCCGTAGTCCAAGCCGCTCATCGAAAGTGGCATCGGGTGGGTCGGTAACCAGATTGGGCGTCTCAATGGCGTATTCACTGGAGTGGTTAGTGGCGGCGCCGAAATAGGCTGGCTGCTCGACCGGACGACTTCGCTGCAACGAAGGATGTGGTGGTAGCCTGGATCGCCTATTGATACTTGGTGCACTTCTATCACGATCACGTGGTCGAGGTCGGCTCCTACTTCGCGGCCGGTAACGACTTGGTGACCTGCCCGCTGGACTTCTTAGACGGCTGCGTCGTCTGTCATCTCGACTGTCACGTCTCGATATAGACTTTGTCCCCCACTCATCCCCCTGCCTGCCATACCTTCGTAATAAGTCATGGTAATCCACCTCATACATATGTTTGTATCTATTCCACCTCACCTCATCTCTTCTCAGTCCCGGTACAGTGACATTGTTGTATCTTTGCAAATCCTCTGGCTCCATGTTTTTGATGACATAATCTCGCGCCTCCTGGACATCCCTAGCCGTGACTTCACCTTCATGCTCATCGCGTGTAAGTACTTCATGCAATGCCTCACGTGCCGTATCGAGTGAGGTTGTTTTGGCAAGCGAAAATAAGGCGAACATGAGCCATGGGTCCGAGAATCTGTACTCTTCCAGAAAAGGGAATGGTGGTGTGAAGAAGTCGTGCGGGTGCCTCAGATCCCAGGTATTGAGTATGTATGTCTGCAGATCGTCCATTGGGGCGAAAAGGCTGTTGGGTGCGTATTCACTTTGGAGCTCAGACATGTTGGCGGCGCTGAGACGGATTAGTCGTGCGTAGGAATTGGATTGATCGCGACGTAATCTTGCGGCGGCTCTTTTGTGGTTGATACGGTCTCAGCGTTGCCAAAGCTCTTGCGAGATAGTGCGATATGAAAGAAAGTCGCGCTTTTGTGCTCGAACAAAGACACAGCACAATTTGATAGAGCTCGTCAAACAAAGACATTTTCAACACAACCATGCTTCGCTAGCAAAAGAGAAAGCGCCTAACCTCATGTGGCATGCTACCACTAAGCGTTCATAGAGCTTACGTCTACATTAGACTATCATTGCACACTTCTGCCCCTCTACCGCCCCATCTTCCTCTTCTTCCCTGTACCGCTAAGCTTACAAGCCAAAACATCCCTCTCATACATAAGCACCCTCTTCCTATAACTCGCCACAAGTTTCCGCCCCACAGATCTCTCATACGCCTCTCTAATCCTATAAAGCTCTATCTCACCCTCAATAAACTTAATCTCCTCATCCTTCGATACATGCTTCGGCCATTCGGGAAATGGCGGCCAAGTGATATCGTGTACGAAGACCTCGTCCATGGGTGTGCAACTACGGTCTCGTCGCTGTGATGGTCGGTGTGACTTCCGTTCAAGATCGCTTTTATCATGACTTGGTCGCAAAGGTCGTCGTGACGTGTGTATCGGAGACGGACTGCGTGATGACTTATTTGGAGAAGGCCGTCTCGTATAATGACTCCTCGGGTGATTCCTCGGAAGCGGCGAAGGTAAGCTCGGAGGATACGGGCCTTGCGATCGTGATCTCGTCGGCAAAGACCCCAGTGAACTATCGCTAGAAATCGATGACATCGATGACGACGGACATCTTACTTTCCGCGGCCGCGTCTCGCTGCAATTCATCCTCCCCTGCCCTTCCATTTGTGAAGCAATGAGCTTCCTTGCTTCTTCCAGACCTCCCCAAGCACCTGGAGCGTGTTTTGGCGGGGTGGGAGGAAGACCCCTCGGTTGCATCTTCTCCGAGCTTCTTCCTTCTCTCTTTTCCTCCTTCTGCTGCGCTAGCAATTTCCTAACGTCTGCCAAACGCTCAGTCGCACTCTGATTACCTTTAGAAGGAGGAAGAAACGGATAGCCCGCAGGGTACGGCGGAGGACCTGACATTGCGCGTGCGATTTCTCCGGCAGTTCTTTCTTCGATCTTGGCCAGAGGGTGGAAATCGGTTGTTTTGAGGAGCATGTAGATGAAGGGGAGGCCATGGGCTAGTGATGGTGTTTGGAGGGCGTGCTGACGGTTTGCGGTGTTGGAGGTAGTATTTGCGGGTAGGGTGGCGGTGGTGGTGAAAGAAGATGGCGTTGTGAGATAGTGGACAAAGACGACAATGGGGTGACAAAGGAGGTTGATGGGGTTGGAGATGAGGTCATGCCTACGCTTGGTATGGGAGGTTGTTGTCGATATCCCTTCGTTCTTTCATGTCGCACGTGATGCTTGAATCCAATGCTAAGGGGCGTCGTCGACGAATGTGCGAGCCGGTAACTGAAATCGTTGCTGCCGGGCCATGTCCATTCGACGTAGATCTTGGACCACAAGCTCCAATCGCCTAACCTGTTCCATATGTTGCCGGTAAAACAATCTTTCTGCTCTCTCTGCCGCACTGTTCTCCCTCATTTGTTCGCGTCTAATCCTCCTGTACAGCCTGTCAAGGTCGCAAACAGTCACGCACAACAGCCGATTCTGCCTTCCTTGGTGTCTAAAGGACACAACGTCGCGCATCTGCTCTAGGATGTAATCCTTCATTCGTGCATTCGTGAGAAGTACAAGACGCTCCAGTCGGATTTGAAAGAGTCGAGACCATTTGTTCGCACGGTGCTCGCCGTGGGGATGGAGGTCGTAAGGTATAGCGTGGCTTGCGTCCCAGAGCTTCCAGGTTCTGTTGATATTCTGAAGCGTGGCGGTGCCTGCTCCTGGAAGGGTCAGGCAACCGATGCGAAGGTGTGTCATTGTTGCTTGAGATGGAAAATGAAGGGTTGTAGCGGCGAGTTGGAAACTTGCACTGTATGGCCACCAGAATGCGCTTGCATGGCGTAGACGCCTTTATAATATCATGCGTGTACATGCGAAGCCTGGCAAACATGAGATGCTTTGGATCAAAATCCTCCATCCTGTGGTTCCGCAGAGAAAATGAATGGTACTAACATTCTGGGCCTATAGCAAGTAGCGCCATTTCATCTCCCTTACATATCCTCCAGAGGTTCTTGGAGGTGCGATACTTCTCTCTTTCGTAGAGTATCTCCTCGCGTATGAGTCGTATGAAATGCGGGAGGTGCGGTTGGCTCGTCATCTCTGGATCGCCTCTTCTGCTGGCCCACTCGAACGACCACAGGCGGCGGGCGAAAGAACACCGCATCAGAGCTCCCCACCACTCGCGCATCACTCTCGCACTTCAAATCCGAGTCGCATCAATCGAGCCTTCGCAGTCGTACACAAACGCCTCCCCCCCATCCCCCCCTCAAATCGCCCCAATAATACTCCCCAGCCCCCCTATCCTCCTCGCCCACCTCGTCATCGTATCCACCGCATCCTTCCTCAGCTCCATCGTCGGCGCCGCAAAAGCCACAGCCATAACCGGCGCAATACTTCTCAGTAAGTCAAACCCCGGTGTTTGGGCCTGTTCAATCTCCGCTGCCGCCTCGATGATATCCGTCGTGGCTTTTGTTGCAACGTCGAAGTAATGGCTGGTGGGCATCTCATGGGACTCGATGGGGGCTGTGGATTCTGTGTGCGTTTTGTACATGAGCATGCTTAGGACTAGGCGGTCGGCCATGTAGTTTGAGGCGATTAGGGCTATGAAGGTATTAGGTGAACTTGTGTTCGAAGATGATCCTTGTTGCCTGGGTTTGGGTAGTTTCGACGTACCCCTCTCGACCGGTGTCCCGTCGCGTGGACTCCTGGATAAGTTCGTCAGGTGTGGATACGCTGCAGCCCAGTCATCGAGTTGCCGGATCAATTTGCACGCGAGCTCTTTGCAAGGTCGGACGTCGACGTGAGAGGGTATTGGCGTGGAGAAGAGGACGCGCATGGACCCCGGTATCTCGAGCATGGCAAAACAGTGGGGGACGATGAGTTCGATGTCTGCGAGGGTTTGGTGTGCGTCGCGTGGTTTGCCGATGAAGGGGAGGGTCATCCAGTCTGGGGAGGCGTAGACGGATTTGCGGTTGAAGACTACGGATTTATGGGCCTGGGGATGTTAGTGGAGTGGCTAGGTATCGATAGTGGTGTCCTTGGTCTTACATCAGAGCTGCGGATTCCTTTGAAGAGCGGCCAAATGGCGCCTGACCCGCAGTTGCTTGGACCGCGCATATTCATAATCTCAGCTGCAGCCGCGATGTGAGACATCGCACCCGTCGCAGTCGCCCCTACATACAGCTCGTACAACGACATGATAAGAGGCACCAAAACCTCTTCTTCATCCGGAATAGCATCGTTCTTCAGCCTCGCTATCGACGTCCTCTGCGCACTCAACGCCACGGTATACCATCTCCAAGAGTCAATCAGAATACTTGGATCATGATGGTGCTTCCCGAAAAAGGCCATGGAAACCGCGCGGAGCGACAGCCGAACCGCCGGCTTCCTTGCGTTGCTGTGAATCTGGTTTATATGCCCCAGCCATTGGATTTCCGGTGCGTACTGACTTCCGCCTTTGTTGAGCTCAATGTAGTGAGATAGGAACGCGGTATCTAGAGCTTCTGGCAGGATTCTTGAGGGTTGGTTTAGCATGGGTGGTCTGTACTGGTAGCGGATTGCTACGATGGCTTGCTCGATCTTTTCGTTGTCTCTGCTCTCGGATGGTAATGCTGGGTATGACGATGAAGAAGGCTGGTCAATTGGTGTTGATGTGCTTGCGGCTTCGTTTTGGGCTAGAACAGTACGTGGAATCGCTGATGGCTGGCCATCGTCTGTTGAATCCTTTGCGCGGACTGCCAGTGCGGCTCTTGTTGTCTCTTTCTTCTTCCGCCCTCTGGGCTTGGCCACTCGCTCCGTCATATCTATGACGATTGAACCCTGGAGAGCCCCAGAGCATGCAAGACCGAGACGTCGACATTGTTGGCATTCAACGGGAGTTTCATCGCACTACACCACATATCAGTCTTCAACCCTTCAATCGCAAATAGTGAGTAAAAAGACCTTAACACGTCTAGACCGACACTGAGCACAAGCTCTACTGCGCTGCGATTTAGGAGGCATTCCGTTCCGTCTATGTACCTAGGCCGGGCTGTTTCTGCACGGGAAGTGAAAGAGGGAATTCGCGCGAGGTAGACGAGGGAGGGATACAGGGGTAACGGTAGTCTGGGAACTTCATGCGGCGCAGTCTCATTCGTTCATGCTGATTGGGTGGCAGCATAAGGTTTCGGAAGATACCTCTAGCATGGTGGGGAAAGCGCGAGGTACCGCGTGAATTTCCGCAGTGAATCTAGCACGTGCTGTAAGGGTCCAGCGTGCATTGGAGCGGGTAAAGATGCCGACTGTGGTTATCAGTGTTGAATGTTTGAGTATTGTGTTTACTTCGTTGTGAAGGATGTGTGAATGGGCGTGTGAAGAGGCGACGTCGTAGTCTATGCTTTCTGTTGACATAGCCTATATACGTTAAAGACGACCATGTGCATTTCGTGGTATGGGATCGCTTATCGTCGTAGTCTGCAATTATAGGCACCGTATTGATGTCAAGAAATTGAGACCTACTCTTGAAAACACGATAGAAAAGCACTTAAAAACATCTGCATAAAGGGTATCATACACCACCATCCCCATCCCATCGCCATCCCACCCACCACCTACCCCCTCCCCAACTCAACAATATCCCTCATCTCCAGCATCCAAACCCCCTCCTCCCTCTTCCCCTCCACACACCTCACCCCCGCCTCGACCGCCGCCCTCGCAATCATCCCCGCATCCTGCGCCCACCAATCCGTCATCTTGGGCGTCAGCCCCCTCAGTCCCTTCGCCAGACTCCTCAACGCC